AGGTACGTACGGATGGTGTAAGTGAGTGCTAGATCTAGACGGTTTTATCAGTGTGGACTGAAACTACGCTTGGTATGTGATTTTCGAAAGGGTTAAAATCCGTTTCTAGTTTTGGTTGCTATGATGAAGTCGAAACCTATGATCYGCTCTATTMTCTTTGGAGTCGGACTGCCGTGTATCGGTGTTGGTTTCTTTTTKATCGGCTCGACATTCTGAGACCATGCCGAAATTTTGTGATAGATGTGGTCAGGTTGTTAGGAAGTCCAGACGTTCGRAGACGGAAATCAAAGCGAGGTTGGTGTCGCTTCCAGATAACTACCTTCAGCAGACATTACAGCCCGTTTTGGACACTGTGCGACAACTTGCGAGCATTCAGACACGCACGAGAATATTGAGGTTTCTTCGAACCATATTGGCTAGAGTTCGGAAAGCCATACGACTATTAAGACCRGGGAGAAGGTTGTGTTTCGCCWAAGCCGTGGAGATTGCTGAGATCTGGCGCCAGTGATCATCGGTTGACAAATCAAGTTACGTTCGTCTTTGCTCATTTTGAAATTGTGCTAGTCGGAGTTTTTCGAACTCCTAACATCATGTATAACAACGGAAACAATGGGGGTAATAATGGGAGTAGTGGTGGTAATGGMAACAATGGGAATGGAGGTGGTTGGGGAGGGAGATCGAACGGTCTGCAAGCTATGAATGTGGGAAGTATGGGCATATGGCAAGAGAGTGCTGGTCCAAGAGAGGTAGACCGGGAAGTCAGACGCTTGGTTGTCACGTCATCATCTGAATCTGAAGAAGACACCACATCGGCTAGTGACGACTCAACGGATACGGAAGAAGAAGCTTTGAAGGTATTCATGAGGCTACGAGAAGCGAAGAGGAAGACGAAAAGCAAGAAGAAGAAGGTGAACACGAAGATGACCACCAAGAAGGGACCTTGCAGAGTGCAGAATGTTCGAAGCGCCTATACACACCGGTTTCGACACTGGGCAATGGCGTCGAACCTAAAACGCTGCTTACTAAAGGCTACAAAGGGATTGCTGCCAGTAGCTCTCAAGAAGGCATGGTGGAGTATACACTGACGGTTGTGAAGCAACTTTCGTCGAAGAAAGTGTCGGAGCTTAACGAGATGTGTGGTAAGCATGGTATCAAGCCGGCCAAGAAGGATGAAATGGTGAGAGAGTTGGTGAGAAGACAGACTGAGGTCVCCTACGATGGATTTTTTGCCACGCCACTTTCAAAGAAGACTACCTCACTACGAATTGGTSAAGAAGATCTGCGAATACAGAAGTCGCCTGCGGAAGTGGTCAAATCCACGATCACTACGAGGGGGAAGGCGAAGATGRCRGAGACGCCTAGAGTGGTTCTGCGTTCTGCTACACCTGAAGAGTCTGCACCAGAGTCTGCACCTGAGCCTGCATCAGAGTCAGATTGACAATTAAAGCCCCCGTCAAAGAACAAACCYTGGATGACGTTAGGCATCTGGTTGGCCGAAAGAGAGACTCTTTGGGGGCAGGGTATCATCGGGGAATCGGGTGCCTTTGTGGAGAGGCGCATTGTTRCCAATGTGATCCTACTTGGTCTGTGTGGGGAACTCAAATGGTTGACGAAGTACCTARACAAGATGGACGTTACGGATGCTACTCTGGATCTGAAGACTGGTRGCACATATGCTATCGTGAGTCCGTGGTCGAAACGGGTATATGTTGGTTGTACTGCTTGCCCCATTTTGCACAGATGGAGGCAGCATCTTCTGGCTGCTGACTCTAAGGCACTAGGGAGATCACCACAACTGTACAGATGGATGAGGCGTTTCGGAGTTGGAAAGTTTGTAATTTTGCCAATCYGACACACGATGGAGAAMGATGATTTTGTCTTCGAACAGCAACTCCTTAAGGACTTGTCTCCGAGTCTTAATGTGATGGGTATCGGGGGAAAGGCTGGAAGAAGGGCRAGACAGCGGAAGGGAATAAGAGAAAGAAAAAGGAGAGCACCTCCCTCGGTAGGGCAGGCGGTAGTTAAATTCGAAGCTCCAGGGCAGGAACTCACGTCACTTTTGAACTGGCTAGATRAGAGAGTGTTGCTGAAGGAGAAGAATGTTGTGATTGAATTTCGCATCGGATGYACATGGACCGACGGGTGGTCAAATRTGGTTGCCAAATAYGGTGAATCGATCGTTCTTGCGGAAGGGAAGAACCTGTTACTAAGAGAGAGGAAGTCGATATGTCAATCTGGAGGGATTGTGAAGTTTGTGGACATTCGGAGGACTGCTACTACGACMRAAAAGAACAAACTGTTACTTCATAAAYTACTCAGACAACCGCGTATGGCTACCACTTTTGGACGATACACCTCACATAGGCTAGTGGGTCTGTAYATCACTGTTGGTTTATTTGGGAAGAAGGAGACGAGGAATAGGCTCAAGGTAAAGTTAGACCAGGTAGTGAGGAAGAAGACAKGTGTTAGTATTAGGAGGAAGACTACGGTGAAATATCCTTTCTGAAGCGTGGTAAAAAAGAATRAGGTCAGGAGAGCAACTGGGAAGATGATAGATTCTTACGTAGCGGATACTGCCATCGCCACGTTCATCAAGGGGAAGCTTCGGATCGTTAACACCAAGAACAAAACTGTWGCGTAGATTATCCACACACACAGGAAATATGCACACACCTTACCGACTGAGTGTACATGCTCAGGTTACGCTTTAGACAAACACGAGGGTCACGTGTTGACACGTTTTGCGGATAAGAATGACGTACCGGATTTTATTCGCAATTCCAGGAATGTGTCGATGAGCGCAAGCAAAATCCATAAATTTGAACTGATAAGAGGGATATTGGCCGGAATTGCATACCTGAAGCGCGGTGTGGATGCTACACTTGACGTTGATTGCTGCTTCATCGACTCGATACAAAGAAAGGAGACTTGTACCGATCTGAAGATAAAGAATTGGGCAACTCGCTTTGGGCAAAGCGCGGTGAATTGGTCGTTCTTGCGGAAGGGAAGAATATGTTACTAAGAGAGAGGAAGTCGATATGTCAATCTGGAGGGATTGTGAAGTTTGTGGACATTCATAGGACTGCTACTACGACAGAAAAGAACAAACCGTTACTTCATAAACTACTTAGACAACCGCGTATGGCTACCACTTTTGGACGATACACCTCACATAGGCTGGGTGCTCTGGCCAAGTTGGCCAAAGCTACGGGCGACACGTCGGTTTGACTCCTGTTCGAGGGGTTGCAGAGCACGGCACGACTCCGCCTCGGACTGGGTTACTGCAAGAAACAGGGAGTCGGATGAGGGAGGGGGAAAGAGAGAGGAAGGAAATAGGGAAAAAGGGGGGACTGTCGGGAGAACGGGAAAACGGGGACCAGGGAGGACACATTCAGTAGTAGTAGACCAGATAAGGGGAAACAGAGGGGTCGGGGGACAAGCCCGGTAGACGAGGAACGAACGACAAGGTCGGGGGTAGGGAGTTAGCAAGAAACAAGGAGGGAAAATAGCGACATACAAGATAGTTCGGGAAAGGGGGGTAGATCGACCGTTGGCGGAATAAGGAGTATAGGGTGTAGGAAGAGGGCTAAGTGCAGATTACAGTTAGGAATGGGCTTGGCACAAAGGCCCAAAACCGGACACGCACATTCAAGATTTTTATTTTGGGCAGGTACCAGACCACAATACGGGAAAAAAAAGGGGGAAGGCAAGGAATCCAGCGGAAATACTTTCTTGATTTTGAGGATTCAGATTCTTGATCCCGGGGAAGAACCCGAGCACGGCAGCAGCCGTAGTAGTATTTAGGACAAAGCAGCAGGGCCAACGCTGCTTTTGAGCACGGGAACTCTGTACGAGTTCACCTCCTGACGATTCCGCCGGTGGGGCGGATGAAACATGTAGAGGATACCACGTTGCTCAATTTTTTAGAATGGCAGTCATAGCGTGGCCATGGGGAAAGTGGAAGAAGGGCAAGAGGACGGTCGGGGAAGGGTGGTTCAGAGCTTTGATCATAATATGTATTCTGTTTATCTTTTGCAGATCAAAGTTTGGGAAGGGGAACTCGACCATCGTTATTTTTCTCCAGGCCAGGGGCTGTGAATGGCTGTGTGGCCGCAGTCACTATCTCACTACTCTGAGGCGCACAATAACCGTAAGCGACTAGAGCTTAGCGGTGGTTGTGTCTACATGGGACGACAATTCTAGCGGCGACGACACTGACGACGACACGAGCATCGGCAACAACACGGCTCAGCACATCGGAACGGCGGGCTACTACAAGACGGTGAAGATGTACGGAGGCAACCATTACGGTGGAGGTGGGTATGGAAACCAGGGCGGGTACGGCACGGGAGGAGATGGAAATATGGGCGGCGGTAATAACGGGAACGTGGGTGGGGGCAATAACGAGAATATAGGCGGTGGGAATAACGGGGGCAGAACGGTAGGTACATGCTACTCGTGCGGAAAACCAGGGCATTATGCGAAAGATTGCTGGGCCAGGAGGGGAAGGCAAGAAGACAGCGAACTCGAGGAGATTCGTCAGCACTTTCGCACGCTACAGTAGGAGAAGCAGGAAGCGGTGACACGAAGGAGGGAGGAGGAATAACGGAGGCTGAAGGAGGAAGAGGAACAAAGACGGGATCAAGATTTCATTCGGAGAACAGAGAAGATTCGCCTCCAGTTGGAGACGAATCTGAATGAGAAGTGGAGACAACAGACGGTGCAGGCGGAACAAGCAGCGCAGAAGGCAGCGCAACAAGCGATCCAGCAAGCAGCGCAGCTGGCGGCGCAACAAGCGGCTGAGCTAGCGGTGAGGGAAGCGACAGAGCGGGCTGCACAAGCCGCAGAGAGCATGAGACGAGCGAGCGACTTTGAGCTCGATCGGGACGGACGACGCGGGTCCGATCGGGACGGACGGCGGGAACCGACCCGGAGTGGAAGGGGCAAGAAAACGACATCGGTAGAGAGCGAGAACACGGACATGGAGGGGAGTGACGACTCGGACTCGCAGTTTTCAGACACCGACGAGTCCGATGAGAAGTTGAAGAAGGTTATCATCAAACTACAGAAGACTAGGAAGGCGATGAGAAACCAACGGAAGGAGAAGGGCAAGAGACCGGCGGCACCTCCGAAGCAGCAATTTTGTAAAACGGCGACTGAGAAAGGCGAATCTTCCAGGGGAAAGCGGTACGTACCATGTGATGACGACCTGAGATGTGCAAACGACATCGGAGCAGGGTTTGGGGCGGAGGCGGAAGGTACGAGGGATTACAGGACACCCCAGCGACCGGTAGGTATGCGTTTCGGCCTGGGAAGGGCGGATGAGGACCGTGACGTCTGTGACGAACCACGTACGCCACTAACGGGGGGGTACAAAGGACTGCCAGCCAAAAGCTCGACGACGGGCCTAATCGATTACTGTTTGGCCGCACAGAAGGTCTTCTCGACGAAGAAGGCGCCCGCACTCCAGAAGATCTGCCAAAAGAAAGGGATAAAATATACTAAGAAGCCAGAAGTGATAGATCTACTGGCACGAGAACAGGTGATGACGGCCTACGAAGGTTTCAACGAAGGCGACCAAAGTACGGCAGGACAATCGACCATACGTCTTGGAGATGCGACACCAACAGCTACTGGCGGGGAGCGACCGGGGAGCAGAGATCGGGCACCGAGATCGGCACCGGCCAGACTGAACTCAGACTTTACAATGGAGGGGGAGAGACGGGAGTCTAGCTGACTACCTGCACCCCCAACGAACGCTGAGCTATGGGAGCATTTGAAGGCTTACATGGCACAGCGCACCGCCCTCAGGGGGCAGGGCATTACCGGCATGCACGTGCTGCTGATCGAAAGGGTGATTACAACCACAACGCTGTTTTTGACGGTAAGGGGACAAATACCGTGGGTGGAGAAGTATATAGAGAGATCGGGGTGTGGGAACGGACTGCTAGATCTGGATCAAGGAGGAGTGTATGGAATATTCAATCCACGGGCGAGGAAAGTGTACATTGGGAGTACAGCATGGTTACTGATACAGAGGTGGCGTGAACACTTGCGGAATGCCTCAGCCGGCTGCTTTGGGAATTCCCCAAAGCTCTACCGCTGGATGAGGAGGATCGGGATCGACTCTTTTGTGATGATCCCGCTTCGACACGGTAGTGAGGCAGATGACCGGGCGTTCGAGAGACATCTCATCCACGACTTCAGTCCGAGCCTTAACACAAGTAACACATTGAGGGGGAAGGGGGAGAGAAGAAGAAGGAAACCACGGAAGGGCCGACGGGAGCGGAAGAAATCCAGAAGTGTGACGAATAGGATCAAGAAGGCAGTGACATTCACAACGGGAGAGAAGGCGGGGGAATTAACGGAGACTTCACTACTCGAATGGCTGGAGAAAGAATGGAAGGTAAACAAGAAGAAGGAGCGGACACTCACGTTTGGGGCGGGACAACTATGGATCGACGGATGGCGGAAGATAAAGCGAAGCTTTGGACTAATGAAAGTATGGTGGAAGGGACAGACGCTGAAATTGGGGGCAACAAGGCGGATCCTGGAAAATGGGGCGACGGTCACACTACGTGGCATCGCTCGAACCACTACGACTACAGCAAGGAATCTTCTGGAGCTACGATGGCTGCTACGAAAACCAAGGATGAATGCGAGCCTGGCACAGCGCACCACGCACCAGAGATTAGTTTTTTTTTTTGGAATTGGCACTTCACCCAACCCGCCCATAATTTTTTAAGCACCACCCGCCCTCAAAAAAACAAAAACAAAAAATCTCAAGGCGACCCAACCCACCCGAGTGTTTTTTTGAAAATTTTCGCCCACACCTAACCCGCCCGTCACCCGTAAAAAACCTTCACCCTGACCCACCCACACCCGCGAGATCAAAATTACCCGCCCACACCCGGTACCTAATTATTTTCCACCCGCACCCGCCCATTCCCCATTGTCTTAGTCCCTTTGAACATTTGCACGCACCATAAACATGACATCCTTGGACGACGACGCAAAACTTTGAAGCATCTCTGCCTGCAGAAATTCGAATCGCTCCACAAGTTTGAAATTGGGTAGTGAACCTAAGGCTTACCACTTGTTGTGGTCAGGTCCGATCCCCGTTGTTTTCATGGGAGCAAACATCCCGTTGTCTGGGCCGTGGTCTAGCTGCCATCAGTAGAGCGTGACACATTTTTTCACGGACCCCAAATTTTTAGTTGCCACTACCGTGACTCTTTTTTTCAAGGACGATAACTTTTTTTCCCAGGGGCCCCAGGGTGTAGACCTTCCGTTTTCTGCGCCTCCAACCTTTGAAGTCCACAAATATACCGACGTTTGAAGTCCACAGATGGACCGCAGCTGGGAAATATGTACAAGGGGGGGTGGGGGGTCGGGGGGAGGGTTCTTATGGGTTGTCCTGGGTCTGTGGGTCGGGTGACCCAGGCCTAGCGTTCACCCGCTTGTCACCCACCCATTCGGGTGACCTTGGCCTAACATTGACCCGCCCGTCACCCACCCAGGCTTGCTCGCCTTGACCCACCCTCATCCTACCCATGCTAGCTTATCAAGACCCACACCTGACCCAATGCCTTGTGGGTGGGGTGGGTGCGGGTGGGTGTGGGTCTGGGTACCCGTTGCTCATCTCTGCCACCCACCAGCTGGTGGGTCTGTACAGGGCAGCGGGTCTACTCGGAGAGAAGAAGACGAAGAACGATCTGCGTCTGAGCATCGACAAGGCCATTCGGATTAAGACGGGGTTTTGAGTGAGAAAGCGGGTTATGGTGAAGGTGAAGTACGATAGCACGGTGCTGAAGCAGCAGATAAGATCGACGACAGAAATGGTGGTGGACAGAAGGGTTGACGAGGCGGCAATAGCAAGCTTGATTAAGAGAAAGATACGGGTGGTATGGCAGCGGAACAAGACTGTGGGTGAGGTCATCCACAACCAGCGCATGTACGCAAATACCTTGGAACAGAAGTGTGGGTGCAGGGGGGCAGGCTTACATATAGCAGCCAATGGACACGTGCTGACATGGTTCTCAGATTTGGAGGACGTGTCGGAGTTTCTCCGGAACTCATGAAATGTCACCTGCAGCAGTGCATTTCGGGACGATAATTACATCAAGAGTTGCATCAGAGAAGCCACAGTACATCTTCCAGGAGACCAGACGGATGTGATTGCACCAAACGGCACCTTCAAGCATGAGAAGGCAGTGCAACCAGAAGCATGGGATGACAGGAGGGTGAAGGAATGGGCACGGCGCTTTCGAGGACTGGTGCTAGTACCCGTCGATCGAAACCAGGGCGACACAGCGGTTTGTATGCCCGGTATTGTACCGGCATGCCTTTGGGAAGACGTTCACATGGAGCGTCGACTATGAAAGCTGTGCTATGGAGGAGACAGAAATCCTGCGGATATGCAAACGCGACTTCATGACCGGGGGTTTGGAAGAGACGGACGATTGGCGAGCCGACGGCAGGATAGGGAGAGCCTACATTATCCCGAAGGATAAGGATTTGGAAAGATGGCGCCCGATTGCACCAGCAGCAAACGATCCGGCAAGCCTGGCTCAGCAAAGGACGGGGCGAGCGCTGCACTGTCTGGTGAAGAGACTTCCGAAGAACAGCTCTTTCTTTTTGAAATCGGTTCAGGATCTGGCAACAGGAGTAAAGGAGACTGAAGGAAAATTCATATCAGAGGGGTGTACACAAGTCGAAGGTCGATGCTATGACATAAAAGACATGTTTACTAAGATTCCCCACGAGACGGTGAGGGGATCGGTAAGGAAGCTACTGCAGTGGTATGCGAATCGGGACTGGAAGCAGGTGAAAGTCTCCAGGAGATATGCACGCTTAGCAAGACAAAGCGGAAGGAAGAAGGCTACGTCAGGATGGACTTTGCTACGATCTACAGGATGGTGGACTATGATCTGGAGCATGCATATGTGATATGCGGGGAGGTGACCAAGAGGCAGACATCGGGAATACCGATGGGCAAGTCCTTGAGCCCAGTTCTGGCCACTATCACATTAGTGATGGCAGAGATGGAATTCATCACAAGTCTGGGAGCAGACAACCGGTTAGTTAGAGGTTGGCGAATTATCGACGACATCACAGTAATTGTGGGAACGAAGAACAAGCAGAGTGCGCAGGGGAATGCTGGGGAAACTTTTGAGAGGTTCGAACGGAGTTATGACAGCAATCTCTAGCTGGAAAGGAAGGACAATCAGCGTGACTGGTGGCATTTCCTGGGAGGGAAATTCTTCATTCTCCATCAGCTGCTGCGCCTGGCATTCGTTCCTGAGACGAAGAACGCCGAGAGCCTGAGGACGGACAAACGGATTAAGTACCAGTCGATGCAAGATTTTAGCTCCTACTCTAAGAACAAAGCTAAGAAAGCTACCCTGTCCGCTACTCTGAAAAGACTGTGGGATTCTTCCACGTGTAAGGTACTGGTGATAATTTCGCTGGCATATGCTGTCCACGAGGCAAACCTCCGGGGACACCCCCCGGAGGTCTCTCTGGGTGCTCTGGCCAAGTTGGCCAAAGCTACGGGCGACACGTCGGTTCGACTCCTGTTCGAGGGGTTGCGGAGCACGCTGCGACTCCGCCTCGGACCGGGTTACTGCAAAAAACAGGGAGTCGGATGAGGGAGGGGGGAGAGAGAGAGGAAGGAACTAGGGGAAAAGGGGGGACTGTCGGGAGAACGGGAAAACGGGGACCAGGGAGGACACATTCAGTAGGTAGTAGACCAGATACGGGGAAACAGAGGGGTCGGGGGACAAGCCCGGTAGACGGGGAACGGATGACGAGGTCGGGGGTAGGGAGTTAGCAAGAAACAAGGAGGGAAAATAGCGACATACAAGATAGTTCGGGAAAGAGGGGTAGATCGACCGTTGGCGGAATAAGGAGGATAGGGGGTAGGAAGAGGGCTAAGTGCAGATTACAGTTAGGAATGGACTTGGCACAAAGGCCCGAAACCGGACACGCACATTCGGGATTTTTATTTTGGGCAGGTACCGGACCACAATACGGGAAAAAAAAGGGGGAAGGCAAGGAATCCAGCGGGAAGAACCCGGGCACAACAACAGCCGTAGTAGTATTTCGGACAAAGCAACAGGGCCAACGCTGCTTTTGAGCACGGGAACTCTTTACGAGTTCACCTCCTGATGATTCCGCCGGTGGGGCAGATGAAACATGTAGAGGATACCACGTTGCTCAATTTTTGAGAATGGCAGCCATAGCGTGGCCATGGGGAAAGTGGAAGAAGGGAAAGAGGACGGTCGGGGAAGGGTGGTTCAGAGCTTTGATCATAATATGTATTCTGTTTATCTTTTGCAGATCAAAGTTTGGGAAGGGAAACTCGAGAATCATTATTTTTCTCTAGGCCAAGGGTTGTGAATGGCTGCGTGGCCGCAATCACTATCTCACTACTTTCTCTCTCTCTCTCTCTCTCTCTCTCTCTCTCTCTCTCTCTCTCTCTCTCTCTCTCTGCTGACCACCTGGCCCTTGGGGATTGAGGTGGTTGTGAATGTCGGTTGTCGTGAATCCCTCTCTCTCTCTCTCTCAAAGTTGAGCAGCATGCCATGATGGAATGCGTTGGAGGAATGTAGACGCCCAGGGCTCTATGATGGAGTGCTCCAAGATGGGAGATCGAGGTCAATGGCCACTTCCCTCCTCCACCCAACTCTCTCTTTCTCTCTCTCTCCACCCACGTTTTCTCCCGCTGCTCCCATCCGCCCTCCCTCTTTTCGCTCGCACTTTCCCCCTTGCCAGTGCTCTG